CTATAGGTTTACATAAAAATGTGTCCTTTGATATAAAAAAAATCTATTTTTGTATGACACAACTAGGAAACCAAATAAGATTTTGTATAAACATCTGAATACTATAATGTTTTTTGTATATTTTAGGGAATGGAGGAGCTGGTTGACGCTGGTTTGGTCAAAGCTATCGGCATCTCTAACTTCAACAAGAACCAGATTGAAACCCTTCTCAACAAGCCAGGCCTGAAATACAAGCCTGCTAATAACCAGGTGCACTTCAGTTCTCTTTGCCTTTTTTTATAAAACAGTTATATGTTTAAAACAAAGGGACACTGCAGAGCAGGAAAACAAATAGAAGCAGGTACAAGTAATGGTATTATCTGTGTCTGTGCTGAGATAGAAATGAGCCGAGTCAGTTCCTCCTCCGGCTAAAGCCATTATCTGAGCTGACCTTATACTTGGTGCTTCTTCTGAACCATTGCTCACAATCAGTGTCTGGGTTTGTCTGGTTGTCTTCTATGAAATCAAAGCACAGTTTTCCCCTCTGCTTTTTGTTATTACACACAGAACAAAGAGCAAATATGTTCTATTTTTGGCATTCTAAGTAAACAATCATGAACTGCGACTCCAGGGTTTCCCCTACATGTAAATGATTGTGGCGCACCGCCACGGCTAAATAAAAGCCGCCACACCTTTGGAATTTTTTTTTTTTTTTTATCAACGTAAAACGGGTTGATGCAATCGTTTAGTTTGTTCGAGACAACCTATTTTTGTTTCGGACAAACAGATCCCGCCTCCCAGTTGTCCGGTGGACAACCAAGAAAAAAAAAAAAAAACCTGGATTAAAGTTTTCCTCCGCATGTGTTTGTCATTGTAAAAATGAACGGGAGAGAAAGAAACTTGTTAAAGCTGTCTAGGGATTACACTGACGGTTCTTTCACCCAATAAAGAGAACCAAAGTCAAAGTTTTATCCAATCAGAACAGAGCAGGGCGGGTCGTACCGTCTGACTGACAGCGCTGCCTTTTTCCTCTCTCTGTGATGGAGGGTCAGTCCACATGTCAACCCCTTCAGATGGTTACTTGTACAATGAGCATCAAAAATCTGTCATTTGCACACACAAAAAAGTCAGTATTAATCACACACGGGTGGAGTGGAGGTGCAAGCGGACCGCAGCTATGCGGGGTGGGGTCTTTTAAAGACGTGTCTACGTTTGACTTTTATTTTTTCTAAAATCACAGAGTTCTGAGTCAGCTTCAGGTGCTTGCAGTTAATATCTTCTAAATTTAACCAAGTGTTTCAATGCCTTTAAATTACACAATAACTTTCCTGGAGAAACTTATCAGTTTGGTTAAAAAAACTGTAAAAATATTTTTTTCTGTGCAAAGAACTTCCTCTGCTATATATATTTTTTTCAAATAAACATATCAAAGCTCCTCAGATGAAAACACTAAAATGATAGAAAAGATGTTTAAAAACCTCTTTCCTCCGAAAGTCTTCAGTCTTAAGAACACTAAACTGTAACTTTTAATAAGGTCATGTACACAGTTTACTCCTCTTTAAATAAAAAAATGTTTGACCTGTAAGCAGAAAGTGTATTTGTATGTACTAAACTTTGTATACATAGCAATATACTTATTAAATTACATTTTAACTCCGCCCCCGCTGCTCATGAGAGGTTACCACACCACCACGGTTAAAAAGCATCCTAGGGGAAACCCTGATTTTTGTTTTATGCTACCTCCTGCTCTCATTAAAAGTGTTTATTTTCTGTCTCTTTAGATTGAGTGCCACCCATATCAGACTCAGGAGAAGCTAATCAACTACTGCCACTCTCAAGGCATCACTGTGACCGCTTACAGCCCTCTGGGCTCCCCAGACAGACCCTGGTAGGTGACTGTTCCTCTCTGTGGTATATTTAGTCCTTTTCAGCATCAGCGTTAACTTCATAAATGATCAAGTAATAAGACAAAGTCCAGTCCTGCTCTGTAACTTAAATAAAGAGAGGTGGATAATTAATTGTAATCGCAGGGCTAAACCAGAAGACCCGTCACTTTTAGAGGAGCTGACCATTAAAGCCATCGCTGAGAAGCACAAGAAGACCTCTGCTCAGGTAGAAGGCTTCAGTGAGGACGTTTGTCCCATCTATGTGACATCAGGTCTCTAATCATGCTCCTGTAC